ACAAACAGGGAAATATTTTTCTATCCTGAAATGGAAAATGAATTTGAACAGATACTGTATGTCTCAATATCGGGATGTTGAGAGCGAAACACGTCATACGTGTGAGTTTGACCTGCTTGACGAGAAAAAAAAAAAACTGAAATCACAAAAATTAACTCAGATGTCTGCTGTGAGTGGAGCTGGGGAAAACAACAGTGACTCCCTCCCTCTCTCTCTCCTGGATCCTCCATGCACGCATGCACCGCTCTGCTGCCCACACCTGCTGCCCCCTCTGCCCCCACTCAGGTCAGCATCCAAACTCTGGACGCAGCGGCGTCTCTGCAGCTTCTGTCAGCTGTGCTCCCTGTGCGCCTGCTCCAGTCATCCGAACCTCGATGCGCACTCGGTGCGGTTCGGCGCCTCTGTGCCGCTGCTGGTACTGTTGTGGTACTGCTGGTCCGGTATCCAGAAAAACACGTAATAGATGACCAGAATGAAGGCGGCCACAGACACGCAGAGGAAATAAGCGATGGCCATCGCCACTTTCACCCAGACCTTGCTGGACATGTTGGCGTGTTTGGCCCGCAGTTCACCAGGATAGCTCGGCCTCCGCTCCATGTCTCCGTTTAGTTTCTCCGCGCGCACGGTGACTTGCCTGCCCGCTGCTCTCATCTCGGGATCAGCGCAGAAACAGGAGCCAACGAGTCTTCATCCGCCGACTGTGGTGTGTTCATGTGAGTACAGGCAGCAGAGCCAGCAGCCCCCTCCTCTTTTACCCTACGCACCTCTGCTCCGGACAGCACCGGCTCCAGGCGGCAGTCTAACCCGCAGCACAGCTGATGGTGTCCCGCTGCAGTCCGCTGTCGTGTCCGCAGGACGATGGAGCCTGCAGAGCGAAAGTCCTCTGTGCGCACCGGGCAAACTGAACTCTGAGAGGCTTTTCTTGGCATCAGCTGGATGGGACCGCTGTCAAGATCACAAAAGTCACAGAAATGAGTTCCGTATAGACTTTTCAAAATAAAAGCGTCCTGTTGGCCCGGCGAAAATGGGGTTTTGTAGAATTTCTTTCGGTTTCGAGATCCCGTGTGCTCGGTTTTAATTTATTCGAAGTGTGTTCACTTCTAATACTTCATTTCAACATGTATAATTCCAATATTCAGGACAAAATCATAATATTTGTTTAGAGTGAAATTACACATCCTTTGAATAATTTGACATACTGGAGTTGGAAACATTACTATAATTTACTATTTCATTCATAAGAAGATATATTTTACTGTGAATAGAGAAGACAGGAAGTGAAGGATTAAAAAAAAAAAGAATACCTACAGAATTTCTTATTTAAAACACCCAGACCGTCCTCTCTCTCTGCACAGCTTTGGAGTGTGGAGTTACAGATCTCTCTTTTACGAAAAGACAGAGCAGGGACTATCTGACTGCTGTTGCCCAGGTTAAAGAAGCAGATGAGTGGTCTAAAACACAAATCACATCCTCCCTGCTTTCAGACAAAGCAATGGAAACATAACCCTGTGGAGGCTCTTCTCTGCACACTGGGAATCCCTTAATGGTGAAAGTTAGTGTGTAGAAAATCTTGAATTACAGTCTAATACAGCTTAGAAATACATTTCGTGCTCTTATTTTGCGTTAAGGCTCAGTGGGTTTCCGGTGGATCTTTCCGCCACTTGACGTTGCTCGGGATGAGGAGGGGCTGAAAGTACGCAGCACCTAACGATTGGGTCATAGTTTGTTTGAAGCAAACGTCCCGCAGCAGCAGACGCTGCAGAGCAGTGTTCATCCACAGATGATCATCATCTCAGCTTCTGTCCGGGATCATGCAGCAGAGCAGCTGCTCACCTCGGCCCCACAACCCACAGCCCAGAGCCCACAGCCTACAGCCCAGACTGAGGAGACTACACTGTGATCCAGCATTTAAAGGGTCGAAAAGCTTCCTGTGTGGAAACGGAGCTGCAGCTGCAGTCACACAGAGCAGTGTGAGGTTTCTGACCATTTTGGATTGCTGTGATGGAAGCAGAAGGAGATGAAGTGAGGAACATTCATCTTCCTGTCCTGCAGCAGCCAAGGTCACAACCACACACCAGCAGCAGCAGCAGCAGCGGGGGGGCGGGGGGACAAAGAGTGCACTTTTATATGATCACACTCACTACAGAGCACATCATGCAATAAATAACAGGAGCAGAGCAGTTTCATCAGCATCCACTCTCATACACAGTAAATCACGGGGTCTTCAATGGTTTTCAGGCCGAGGACCCCACGAACAGGAGAGATGGACCAGAGACCTGGGACTATTTATACTTCTACATAAGTGTTTTTTTTTTATGTTTTACATTTAATTCTATGCTTTTCAAATATAAGACAGATCTTACATTTCTTATTTGAGGGCTTTTTTTTTTTAGCTGACATACTATACAGGGTAGTACGGCATGATGATTGTGTGTGTTGAACCAGAGATGGCCTATTAGTACATACATGAGCATATTGTCATCATAGAGAACATGAGGGGGAGAATATAAAAATGATAAAAATCAATCAAAAGTTTTGTGACCTCTCCTACACCACCGCCCCGCACCCCCCGTGTTAGACCTCAGCAGTTAATCATGCTGTCAGCATCAGGGGAAAAAAAATCAATGTATTTCAAACCAGTCGGTACTAAAACAATGGGTCAGGAACCACAAAATGGAATATGTTAATGTTCCATTAATGGGCTCAGTAGACTGTAGTCCAAACCCATCCCAGTCAAAAAGAATAACAATTAGTGGAAAAAGATTGTTTATCAGTATTTTCTTTTAAATCAATTATTAGATATTTCAGACGACCCCATTTGAATTCCAGGTGACCTTCGAGGCATCAGTGTAACTGGATACTTTTCCACAGCACACCCTAATGTGCTGCGGTACAGCGATTAGGGATCACTGATGGAAACGACCACAACAACAAAGAGAGAAATCACCAACCATCAGAGAAACATATTTATTGACTAATTTAAGAAAAACAAACAACAAAGCACCGACGGGCTTTACAGCTGACGGTGATTCCATCCGACAGACATCTCTGTAAAAAGCTACGGTTGAGGATTCATGCTTGTCCTGATCATTCCATGAACACAGCTGCACAACAAGAAGAGCAAATCATGGCAGCAACTTCCTGAAGAACATTGTAGAAAGTAAAGTACAATGAAATAACTACCTTTAAATACACTCTGTCATCCAAACATTCATGTGGAAAACTGTTTTTTTTCTCTCATAGCTCAAAGGCTACATTCTGCACAGGGACACAACTGTGGAATGTTTTCTTCCAGAACTGTACATATTGCAGATTCCTCTTACATCGAAGGCATTCCCTGTAATTTACATCAGACTTCATGCAACAAAGAAACCACTGAAGCGTCTGGTAACTGAACAGCGGACTCAAAGAACCAAAACAAACGAAAGCCTTTTGTGAGCGGAGATTGAGAAATCAAAAATCTAAACATATCGATGACAACATGTGGGTCAAAAATCAGCATTCAAGGAACAGGCTGAAGGGTCTATGTGTTTGTGTGTTGAATTAATCTGCACTTCTCAAATGAACCTCTTGGGGTTTCTTGATGCTGTGACACATATCTGCCGAATTCAAACATACATAAATACCTGGTCCAGTGTTGACCAATGAGATGTGTCTTAGTTGACTGACTAATCACCAAGTTGAGTCATTTGAGGTCTTTCAGTAACTGCCGTTGTGTTTGGTCAGTTGTTCCCACTCAGATTCATCATCACCAGTCAATCACAGTCACAGTTATTTTCCCTGTGTTTATAAAACAATCTGTCTGTTTGACAGGCGGTGTTTTCTGAGAAGAAAGGGACGGAGAAAAAAAATGGACTGCAGCTCAGAATCCATCAACGGAAAATATTATATTTTCTGCGACACTGGATTGCAATAACAAACGGTCCGACTGCTCAGAGCCGGTGTCTGAGCAGGAGGTTTTAAAGAGGTCACAGATTGTTCTGTCTGAGTAAAATGTGAATCTAACGTAAATGGCTTTAAATGACACTTAAAGCTTCAACTAAATTTAAAATAAAGCTCTGCGAACAATAAAACATTAAGTGTTTAAAAGAGGTCTATATCAAAGGGATTTCGATACATAAAAACCCAAGGGTTGAACAGGCTGCAGAGTGGAGCCCGCAGACTAATACTGCCATACAAAACAACTGAGATAGAAGAGTCACACAGGACTTAAAGCTGAAAGACCAAAGGTCAGAGAGACTGAAGCTTTTATGACCGCTCTGTTCACAAATGACATCACAGTCACGGGTCGACCTGCTCAGAAACAGAGGATGACACATTTAGTGTGTGTTCAGAACAGCGGTGATGTCAGGTGTTTCAATGTTTGGACTGCAGCACAGACTAAACAACATTTTTAATCTGTCTGGAGACACAATAATCCCACGTTATGACTGAGTCACTGAGGAGATTAAATGACACGACATATTCTCTGAGTGCACCAAAAATTTAGGACTTAGTAATTATGCTACTTATGATTTAAAGGTGTGTTTACTTGTAGAGCAGTTGTCTTCAAAAGGACGTAACACCCCGGCCCACCCACCCCCAACAACATCACTACCTGTATCTGTGTATCTGTTGTGTAGTTTAGCATTGAAATAAAAATAATAAGGTACATTTCTACATGACACGAGGCCCAGTTCAATGTTCAACCCAACATTATAAAACATACATTTTGGGGAGACCCTGCTCCATCTAACACCTCGGCCTGAATATGACTGACCCCTGCTCTAGCGTTGGCTCAGCATTCATTTTTACCGTCTTTGTGGCAAATTAATTTATATTTCTGAAGTGAATCCTGGGTCTGTAGACTAAGCGAGAGCCGACACCTTGTTCCCTGACATTTGCAATTGGACGGCAACAAAACTTCAGAGTTGATGTGATCAACAACTGACTGGTTGCCACTGTTGTGTGTTGTGAAAAGTCTGGATATAGTCAGACCAACACTGTACTTTTGGTTTTGTATAATTTTGTGCCAAAGGACAGAGTTTTAACTTATGCAAAAAAACACTGTTTCACAACACTGTGATATGTCTATTTGGATATATTGGTAATAATCAATAGTTTTGGTGATCAGACTCCACTGGTATAAAGATCTGACAGACGTCCCTCTTCAATGACCTTCAAATGTATTTACATGTGTGACAGCCGCTCCGTGAAGAGGATGGTGGCGCTGCTCAAACGTTTCCCCCGTTCCTCTCATCTCTGCATTAGGCTCAGACGGAGCAGAGTGTTTGACTTCCGCAGCTTCAGTCTGTGGATACAAACATAAGGAAAAATGAAGATGCAGCGGTGCAGGGGCAAACACATCGCTTTTACATGTCACGTTTCTACCCTTTTTCCACCAAAGGAAATCATGGAAGCAGACACGTGTGCACAATCTGGAGCTCAGGGCCCTGAGGGGGAGTCTTCAGGAGACTCTGGAATGCCCATTCAGCTTCTCTGCTGCTGAATGGGAGAAATAATCACCTGCTTAGTCCTCAATAATCAATAGTGAAGCATCTTGCTGCAAAATGTGTGTTTGCATTTCCTGAGCTCGAAGGTCTGAAATCAGCAGGTTTAACAACCTCAATACAATACAATGAATCTGAGGATGAGGCAGAGCCAATCAAAGCCGTCGACAAACCAAATCAAACATTAGGCTCTTCCGCACTTTCCAAAAAATCGGATCTTCCCCCAATTCTATTTAAACCCAACACACTGTGGGATGTTTGTTACATTTAGGACACAGTGTAAAGTAAAGTAAAGGTCATGTAAGGAAACTGCTGCGGCAAACCTGGATTGACAGGGAGCCAATACCAGTGGGATAGGAAAACCTGGAGTTCCTCACAAAAAACGCTGAGGTCGGACGAAACGTTATAGAAGCACAGCTACAGTCTGCTTTCTGAAGAAGCAGAGAAGAAGAAGTGCTGAGTTCAAGGTCCCCCCCCACCTTTCCAAAAATGTTGTAGTCAGTGTGTGACTTTTAGTGTGAACATGACTGTATATATTTGTTCTTCATTTTTCTCCTGTTAAATTGGTCTTAAAATTTAACATTTCATGTTAAATTTCAACTGTGACTTTAAAACTGTAAAGTCCATTGCTAAAAATGTGTTTTGTGAATCTGGACTAAACATATAATAATAACATATATAATAAAAATGGACTTGAGCTGAATGATCAGGAAGATTGCGATGACAAAAGAAGATAAAGTAGGTGTAACGTGGATGGGCTGCAGTGACCTATTTTAGTTATGTGGTTATTTCTGTTTCATTTTCCCATCTTTAAAAACCCTGACCTGTTGACCTGTGAAGAGGCCGATTGGTGTAGGAAGAAGATGAGCTACAGACACCCAGCTGGAAGATGCAAAGGTTAACCATTTATACAGCACTAAAAGTCTGACTCATTCCATTTTCAGAGGGAGATCAATTTTTAAGGAGGATTTTAGTTTGAGTCACGGCTGCACACGACTGTTGATTTTCTTTTTTACACCTCAGTTTCTACATCAACCTTCAACAAATGGATCAGCGGGATCTAAATATGCCGTTCATTCTTGTTTACTTTGAGAAGACGCCGTCGGCATGTTTTATCAACGAGTTGATGGAAACGAGGACGTGTGCATTTCCTAAAATGTCAAAGGCTTCACTTTAAAATCAGGATCAATAGAACAATTAACCCAACAGGGAATAAATCAATAATGGCATAAATAATTTGCCTCACATCCTGAATATGTTGTGGATCTGGTATTCTATATTATTTGATCATTTTTAAATCTGAAATGATTTAGAAACAACAAGGGTAATTAAGAATGAAGCACTGAAGTTAATTAATTAAAATGTCCTGTGTCGACTCCAGGGCTCGTGCTGCCAAGTTCAATTTTTTATTTACAAAGGAAATGTCTGTTTTCTCCTTCAGTTTTCATTTTGAATCATTTTATATAAAAATCAAGCTTTAATTAATATTCTCCCTTTATCCGTTAGAACGTTGTTATTCTTACTTTCCTTTGTTTGAAATATTATATTTATATAAGTTCAAGTGTTCTATAGACAACAGCAAATAATGCAAATATTAATTGAACCAAACACTAAAAGATAAATAAAAAACCCATTGGTTTAAACTTTAACATTAAGCCAATTGAAGATCATTGTGACCTGATATGAATTTATTGTTGGAAATCTGTTTGTATTTTGTTGGTGTTTGTTGGTGGTAGAATGAACTCAATCGTTCTTCTGCTCACACTCAAATGTTGGAGCCTGAAAGGCGTCGTCCGACCTAATTCAATCAGACATCAAACACATCTGCTCTGACTGTCCGACAGGCTGCAGCTCGTTTCCTCTGAAAAGCTTTTAAAATCTTTAATTGTGCCTCCAATTTTCCTCGTTTCCTGGACTCCGCCCTGAAACTAACACTGTAACACTATCACGCAGTCAGATGTATGTGTGTGTGTGTGTGTGTGTGTGTGTTTGTCTGGAGCCATACCCTGACCTCAGTCATGAGCTCATCTGAGATCTGCTCTGCCTCACAAACAACACACTGGATTTTTGAAATTCATCATGATACTTCACTTTATCATTAGGTATATATAAATATATACACACAGTATATATTGGGTGCAGTACCACTGGCGACCAGCGGGATGGTTGTGTAGATAAGATTTGTTTTTATTTGTCTAGATATTCATTGACCAGCGAGATGGTTGTGTAGATAAGATTTGTTTTAGAATTTGTTTTTATTTGTCTAGATATTCATATATCAAAGTCTTAGTTCTTAAAATCGTAAAGAATCGGAAGAAAAAACATTAAATATATGTATAGAGTGTGAGCCTTTTTAGAGTAAACAAAACTTTTATAGATTCTGGGGAAAACCAAATTGGTTTTATAGACTTTAGACTTTCTGGGGAACAGACTAATTGAAAACTAATTGATTCTTTTTATTTTAAAACATAGCAATTAGCCAAAGTGCTACGCCCACAGACTGAGTGGATGACACAGAGGCAGCTAATGTGACTTCCTGTAGTCTGTGGTTTGATTTCCATTTGGCTCATTTAAACCAGAGTAGACGTGGTGATGTATCCCAATGACAGTAATTCTAACCAAAGAGAGACTTTTCTGTTCTCACTCAGGGTCGATGTGCTGAGGAGCGGATGCTCAGACTAATGGTTGACAGAAACATGATGTACGTGGACATGACATCAGCAAAATATTTGTTTGACAGGATTGAATGGGTTTTTTTCCCACAGTTTTACATGTAAAGAAAAGATCAGTAAGTTAAAATGCTTTTCAAAGCCGCTGTAATGGGAAAATGAATGGAAGTCAATATTTAACATGACCAGAGAAGACGGGGAAGGTCAAAAAATCATCAAGAGACGGGGGACGTGTCAGCAGTCGACCCAGATCATCTCTAAAAACTGGAATAATTATGCAGTCAATCATGCTTTTACTTTCTGACCAAAAACAACAGACAAAAAAAAAAGACAGAAAAAGGAAAACAACAGGCCACACACCAGGGTTTGTAAAGCAAGTGTAAGTTCATGCAGCAATTTACATCAAAGAACCAAAACTGTGGAATCGAAAAGGATTTTTCAAAACTGAGGAGAGACAAAACAGAGGTAGTGGGAGAAGTGCTTTCAGTCCATTATATTGAGAGAACCAGGAGAAGAGAGGAGAGGAAGAGGTGGAAGAGGGGAAGGAGGACGGGGAGGGGGAGGAGGACGAGGAGGAGGAGGAGGAGAGGTCCTGAATGGTTGGAGGCAGTGACAGCAGTGAGGCTTGAAATAGATTAAGCAGCAACAGGCAGCATTTGAAGTGTGAATCCTCCTCATGCTACAAAACCTTTTATCACCGTTAGTCATGTAGATGAGGAGGAAACAAAAAAAGACACACAGACACACACACACACATATACATACATTGGGTACAAAAATCCAAACACACATTTCACAAGGAGGATTTAAAAAGTAAAGCAAAGCCATGAGCTGCAGTCAGAAATACACAGGGGAGTTCCTACAGTACATTACTGTCTCAAAGCCACTGATAAGAACCGCACCTGAGGACGTGTGGTCAGAGGACTCAGCTGCTGCTGTCGGGTCAGCGTCGGTCTCAGCAGGCACCGTCTCCTCATCTTTACCCACTGCTTGATGTGAAGCCGGAGGTGTGCCTTGCTCAGTTTCCTGGTCGGCAGCAGAGGGAGCTGTTTCTGGTTCATCTACTGTCCGAAAGAAACAGAGATAGAGAAAAAAGTTTTTTCTTAAAAATCTCAAACTATTTCTGTATTTTAAAATCTTGTCTAACATTCACAGGGACGTCGTGCTGTTTCCTGTCATCATGAGAACTTAAGCTTAGCTCCTGAAGCTAATTTAATGTAGATTAGGTTATGTTTCTTTTATTTTTGCTTTACTTTTCAAGGGAGGAGCAGGTGTTTCCTGGTTCTCTGACACAGGAGCATCACTGATGACGGGGGCATCTTGTACAGAAATATCAGAGGGTACGGCATCAGTTGACACGACAGCCACAGTGTCAGGGGGCAGAGACGCTGGTTCTGGCTCAACCGTTTCAGAAGGAGAAGAAACCTCTGTGGCTTAGAGGGGAGGGGGGTGGTGGTATGATGACAAAAAAGGACAAATGGAAGGAAAGACCAGAGAGAAAAAAAAATCAGAAGAAAACAGAGGACATCTAATTTCCAGTAAATGCTCCAAGTTAACATTTCAGTAAAGATTAAACCAGTATTGACAGTATTCTATAAAAGAGAACTGTGCATGAATATTTCATTAATACCTTTATCTTCTGCTGCTGGATCCGCCCACATTATAATGTGGCCATAGGTTAATGGATTCTCTAAATTAAATAAAAGGGCTGAATCTGAGGCAGACGCTTGTCCTTTTGAGCATGTTAGCTTAAAAAAAAAACTTTATGGGTTTACGATGTGGCCCGTTGGTTGGTTTTGTGAAAATCGTTCTTGGTCAAAAATATCTATTAGCATATCTATGATAATTAACGCAACTGACATGTTAACACAAGCAGGTGATGGAAGTAACACTATAGATTAGCCTTCTAAGCTAGCTGCCCCCAGCCCCCACCCCCCGCCCAACTACATCAACTCCAGTGTATGATGACATCACTGATTACAAGTCTCTCACCAGTTTTGTCTTCCAGTTTTGGTTCAGTAGTTTCAGTGGATACAAAAGTGTGGCTCTTTGTCTCCCTCTCCTCCTCCTTCTTCTCCTCCTTCTTCTCCTCCTCCTTGTGCTCCTCCTCTTGGTTCTTCTTCTGGGGTGGACTAGATTCCGTGCTGGAGGGCTTCAGGGGACTTTCACCTCCCATGCTGCTCCGTGGCGACACCATCTCCATCTCCTCCCCCCAGTCTGTCACCGGCCTGTGGCCGTCCAGTGGTGAGAAGGGGCTGAGCGGTTTTCCTCCCTCAGTTGAGTCCTGAGCCATAGATGGAGGAGGGATGTAGACCTTGGGCCTGGGAGTCCGCTGCTCTTTGGGGCTGGGTGAAGAGGACGGTCCAGAGCGAGACGTTGGAGACACTGGGGAGTGGTCTTTGCTCTTGGTTGTTTTTTCTTTCACCGTGTCTTTCTTCTCAGAACCGTGTTCCGAGTCGCTCTCTATTTCTTCATCTTCATCACTGGTAGCGTCCTCCCAGTCCTCTTCATCCTCCTCTCCATCTTTGTTACTCACCTCCACCTAAAAAACATGAACACAGTGATTACAAGGATTAAGTGAACTGGCCATTATTATGTAATGTTGACTCTTAGTGAAGGGTTTTAAATCTAGAAAAGCTGGGAGAATTTGTAATTTGAAAACGTAGCTTTTCGCTGTTTAAAAATGCCTTTGATGTGAAATACAGTGGGGAGTTTTTGTGAAAACATCCAATAACTGAATAAATGCAGCGTTTGTTTTTCTTAATTTACAGTAGGAGAACAGACAATGATGGAAATGTGTCACCGTCTCCCCCTCTGCTCTACCTGCTGGGTCGTAGGGGATTTGGGTTTTTCTTCCTTTTTAGCGGGTTTTGTCTTCTCCTCTCTCTTTGGCTTGTCCTCCTTTTCTTTCTCCTTCTCCTCTTCTTTGTCTCCTTCCCAGCGGTTGTCATGCATGCTGTCAAGGCAACCCAGATTTTAATCAGTGTCAAAACAACAACAATGAAAGCAATGCATGTCTGAATATGTCAAGTGTCTGAGTCAGTGAAACATCACATCACTTCGAGACTAATGTTTGAGAACTACAACCATAACTACAGTTAGAGTATTTATTGAAATCATATAATCATAAAAAAAATTGCTTTAGGATTTTTTTTGCTTGATCATCATTTAATTTAGGGTTATTTATAATTTAAAATGTATTCCTTGTATTGTATTCCTTTATAATTAAATAATCGCTGAACTGCACTTTCAACAATTTTTACTATACTGTACTATAAATAATGAAATATATACAGTACATATATATATTTAACACACTTTTTTATTGTTACTTTAAATATTGTTATATTAATTTGCTTGTATTACAAATGCTTAGATGATATTGTCTGGTCATTGTGGTGAAACACCACTATGAAAAGTGTCTAAACATGAACCTTATATTTTTAGGAGTCGTGCATGAAGTACCTGTAGCTCGGCTTCTGTCCTCGGCCCTTCCCTCTGCTCCTGTCCCCTCGACCGCCCGGCGTCCTGCCCTGTGACAGGAAGTCACCAAATGTGGGTACCTTAGGTGGCCGCTTACTGTCATCTGTGGAGGACAATTAGAGTGAAAGACACGTGTTAAAATCTTAGTGATCTTAAAATTCAACAAATAAGACATAAAATTATTAAATCTAAATGTATGTCGTAGTTGGACTCCACAGACTGCTGCGTCCAGAAGTCAAACATCTGCAAACCAGCTAAGAGGAAACAGGTGGAGAAAACAGACGAGACCTGTTGTTGTTGTTGTTCTTCACCTGAATGAACATGAAGTGATAATAATAGACACAAATAATGACACAAAGAGTTTTAGTTTTATCAACAGTGAACAGCTGGTGTCTAAAGCTGGGGCTCTACAGGCCAAAAGTCAATATTTATAGTGTGATGATGAAAACCCAATTGGACTCTGGAGATGATCACACGTCCCAAAGTCTTGGTGAACACATGAAATGCTACAGATAAACAGTTTAACCTTCAGATGTGTCCCCTGTGGACATTCCCTTAAATAAATCACTGCTGAATTTCAGTTAATTCTGGATTAAAAGTAAGCACAAACTCTACGCAAATGCTAGAAAATATTAAATGCAAGAATGAGGAAACCAGACGCAATGAAAAAAACAAGTAAAGTAAAAACCAAAATGGTGTGAGAGAATGAGAATACTCTTGTGGAGAGGACAGGAACGATATTCAGAAGGTAAAGAGAGGGAACGCTCCAGTGGAGGAGGGAGGAGAATAAGAGCTTAAGGGGAATTGTGATAAAAAAAAATAAAAAAAAAAGGTCAGAGAAAGTGACAGGCACAAATGAAGGGATCAGTGAGGGGGAAAAAAACAAAACAATGTGAGGATGAAGATGAGCAGATGGAACAGAGGAGCCTGAGGCTGTGAAGAGGAGACTGCAGTCACTCTACAAATTAGAAATGTTGAATAAGAAACACACAGATGCTCACACAGATGCGCTCGCACACGCACACACACACATAGCCAAGGAGTCAGTGTGTTTGCATTTATAAAATTTCTAATTACCATTAAGATCCATTTCCTTATAAAGGTTTTTTTTTCCAAAACAGGTTTGGTTAGTGTGACCCACTTTTAACTCATCAGAGCTGTAGAACAATTAGATTTAGAAAAACAACATTTATTGTAGTCTATATACGTAAAAGACTAAATCATGAAACACAGTGATGTATCTGTCTTTGGACTGTAGAAAAAGAAACAGAGACAGAGACAGCAGGGACGGTTGGTTATAGACATGGAATTTTAAACGAAATTTGCTGTCCAGTGATACTACCCACTGTAAATGTTTTATTTGTAGGCTAATTTGTTCCAAAGTATTAACGTTGAAGAATCCTTAAGGAACATTCTACATTAAAAACAAACAACTTGTACTCTTAACTGGAGGTGAAACTTTGGGCCACATGGGAAAAAGACTGGGTCTGTTGTGAAACTGCTCTGAGGTCAGTTCCACCGCAGCTTGAGAGGTTGATTTGGACACAGGGGAAATACAGCGAGTATTTACATAATGAGCTTAAATCAACTTCCATTTGCATCAGGATCTTAATTGGCTGAAGGAGGGAGTGTGTTGTTTCCTATGAAGCTGGTTTGGTGTGTCATGTGGGTGTGTGTCATGACGGCAAAAACAAAGAGACAGACACAGGTCAGAGGACAAGCAGATGTCTGGTATTGACCTCGTCATCACAGGTGTGGGGTCACAGCAGTGACAGCAGATTAAAACTGTGTGTGTACGTGTGTGTACGTGTGTTTGTGGACTTGCCTCTCTTGCTGCCTGGCTCAGATGTGACGCCCTCCGTAGCCACATTTGGGTCCTCTTTGAACCTGTGAAAGCAAGCACTGGGTTACATCGATGTAGACACACACACACACAGTGCGACCTTCTCACACCTCTGTCATAATCTTTATCCAAGATGACATGTGTTCAAACCCTGGCTGTCACCCTCTCCTCCTCTGTCTCCATCTTCAGTATTCAGGATTCACAGCAGAGATGTGTTTTTGCAAAGTTATTGATGTTTATTTTAAATTTCAACAAGAATCAATGTTACTTTACTTATTTTTAGATTACCTATTCTACCTAAAATGGCAACATGTAAACGGGACTAGAGAGCCGACTAGTGGTGATTGCTGTTAAGAGCACATTTAGATCATATTAAAGGCTAATTTCTTTAAGTTCATGTGATAATGGAAAATATTTGGTGATGAACTACGAGCTGATCCACAAACTATTATATTTAAGGTTTAAAAATAGAAATAATATGTAATAAATATGTTGGCTAAATGAATCACAATATTTCTCCAAATCTTTCATTTAATTTTTTGAGTCTTCTGCATCATTAGAGGTAAAAACAAAAGCACTACAGGGAGCATAAACATGGAGGGAAACATGAAACGTTTTATCCAATCTCAGTAAAAAAAAAAATCCCCTTCTCCCTTCTTACATGTTGTCCGTCTTTTGGGCGTCCCACTCCCGTCTCCATTGGCCTGTTGCATTACGATGGCGAGCTAGTCTTTCCTCATCAATCTGTTCACGTTCCTTCTTCCAGCGCAGGTACTCTGCTCTCTCCCGGCCGGTCATTGACATCGTCATGTCCACAGAACCTTTGGGTCCTGGCCTTCGACTCTATACAGACAGGAGAGGATTCAGAAATATCAAACGGTCAGGAAACAATAGCCTGGTCATTTTGACAACTAAACTGTCACAATTATATTTAAGAACATTAATTACAGTCCACTCTTTCTCCAGTTCAGCTCCTGTCTTAACGTTGTCAAAGTCGAGTCCTCCCCAGTTCCGCACATGTCTCCTGCTGCCGTCCTTTCGATCTAGGTCAGGTGCTGGACCAGAGCGTCTTGGATCATCCAGGAAGTTGCGTATGGGTTTATCACCATCCACCTAAGGGAAGACATTGGTTTTAAAAACTTCATTTTAAGATTACAGCACTGGACACTATGAAAAGCAGAGCAACTACAAATCAGGTGACAATCTTTGAATATAGATACGTAATTATATGAAACAGTTTTGTCATACCCGCTGTCCTCTCTCGTACTCGGCTATTCTCTCCATTTCTTCATTCATCTTCTCTATGTTCTGTCTCCTCTTCTCTTCCCACTCCTGTGTTAGAATAAACAGAGACAATGTTAACAGACACATTGGTTAATTACTGTAACAAAAACAGAATGAACATGAACATGGGCATTTCAATCAATCAGTCAGTTCAATCATAGTTCACACCTCTGTGGATATAAGAGTACCTTGGATTTTCTGTCGATGCCACCTGGTGTTGCTCCTTCTCCGCCTCCACCTCCGCCTCCACCTCCGCCTCCGCCTCCACCTCCACCTCCACCTCCTCTCCCTCTCCTTCCTCCTCTGCGTCTCTGTTCTGCTGATTCTACAAATTCTCCACTTCTGGGAGTCCTCACTTCACCCTCTCTCCTTTCTTGGCGACCTCCGCCTCCACCTCCTCTTCCTCCTCCTCTCTGTCCCCCTCTACCGAGTCTACCTGATCCTGTCCTTCTGGGGGGACTGTGACCATCGTTTTGCCCTTTCTGGCCATCACTATCCTCAGAGCTTCTGGAACCACGAGGGGGTCCAGATTTCCAATCATTCACAACTCTCTTCTCCTGCAGAGGGCAGTTCAAAATGAATGGGCCATACAAAATAGTCACAGTACATCACAGAAATTAGAGGGGTGGCACTTCTTACCCCTGCCGGTTTGGACAGATCAACTGTAACGGTGAAGTTTTCCTTCTCCGTCTTCCTCCTGTCCGTCTCTGGCTCATGTGGACGTGGTTTCCGTGGTGTGGTCACAGCGATACCCTCCTGCTCTGCTTTCTTCTTGTCCTCTTCGATTTCCTTTAAGATCAAGTAAATAATGAAGTGACACAAAACATGTTTTCAGAACACAAATATACTCCGTGTCATCCTTTCAATGACAATGAAAGACAATAAGTTCTTGATAATACTTTAATACTTAAATAATGATGTATTTATTTAAAGGTGTCCACACATAATAAGTATAGTTACACATTTCAGCTCATATCTCCATACCTGGTATCTTTTGACCAGAGCCTCATTTTTCTTTCTCAAAGCTTCTATTCGCCTGTCCAGCTCTGCATCTTTTTCCTCCTTGGTCTTGAGATCTACAACTGAAGACTGTCATATAGTAAAGGAAGAAAGCATTAAGGTAAACAGGAGAAATGTGTGTCCTATCAGGAATTAACAACCGAAGTAAGCATGAAAAAAAAAAAATCGCACTTTGTGTTCAGTACTTTAAATGTTTTTTCTTTGTAACTTACCATATTTGTCTTTGAAATTTCTCTATAAACAGCTAGCAGATGAAGCAGTCCTCCTGGAATTAGAACAGTGTTGATGAAAATTATGTGGAGGACAACCTGAACAACTTAACAATGATCCTAAATAATTTCTGTCATATGGCTTAACTTTAAATTTGGAAAAACTGCCTCATAATGCATTTGAGATTAATGTAGACACAAATAATCATATAATAATAATATTAAGTGTTAGGACACATGATATACTAATACACATAAAATAACACTTAAGTCAAAGAAATGACATAACCAAAAAAGAAATCCAGATAGTTATAAAGCATTGCAAAGGATCCAAAGCATGGTCCACCCAGTTAGTTTAATGACATGAGAAAAGAAACGCAGCACTTTACAGTAATGAAACTGAAGGTAGTTTTACATACTCTAAAAAGTCAATCTAATTGTTTTCAGTATCAAAGGTTGTTTAAGGAGATTATTGACTAACTTCATGGTTTTTTAAGTGTGTGCTAAAAATGACAGGTTATTTAATTCGTTTTTTTTTTACCAAAATATTATTCGTTAAAAAAACATACTAATTAATGACAAATAATTTGACCAGGTGTCAGATTTGTGTTCACAGGTGAGATCAAGTCTTAATAAGCTTGTGTGGGTCCATGTACGTATATAAATGCTCCATGCCAAATACTTCAATCTTTCCTGTGATACCAATATGAACCACAGCACGTGAAACTGTAACCACGCCACCCCACCGAGCCACAGTAGCAAATAGCAAAAACATAAAATAGATGTGTAAGATGTTTTTAGGATTATACACTTTATAACGATAAGACTGACAGTGATCCTTGTGTCTGCTCTGCTTTGTAGGACTAATAAGCACACCGAGCCATGTCTGCTCGTATACAAAGGCGCCTAATCAACCGCACAGTACAAACACGTCACATTGCTAATAGCGTTAGACGACGTATATTTAAACGGCGAGTTAAATTAAAACTGGCGTTTAAATATAACTTTTTATTTACCTTTTAAAGGAGTCGTACAAAGAGTACAATACTATTTTGGACTCGCGGGTCTTTGCCAGTTTCTGCACCTCAAACTGTTCTTATTATTCGGCTTCCTGTTGGCTGTTGCTAACTTCCTGCAAAATACAGAGCCTAATCCAAATTTTTAAAGACACAGCGCCCATTTTGGGCGACGCTTTTATTTATTTATTATTTCTTTTCGTTCCTTTCTTTAATTTAGGATTATTTTGTATGAATAAAACAATTAAATGGATATTTTACAACCGTAAACAAACGTAAAAAAACAAAAGGAGCTAAGTGTTTCAAATCAAATGTAATTCGAAAGGCGTCCACAAGATAGCGGTAGCACTCAGTAGACGAACCTGACCTAGAATACACAGCTCTTACATACTACATTATAAACGCTACAATATATCTGTAACCCATACTTTTCGAAAGTCAGTATAGAAAAATGGAGATTTAGCCTGGTATTAATATTTTATATGAATACATGAGTTCCAAAGAGAAGTTTGAAAAGAACTGCATTGACCATGATGATGCAAACTGTGAAAAAAAGAGGTATATATTAGAACTCCTTCCAAGAGGAAATTTCATTAGGGAATTACTATGTAATCCTAGATTTTAAAAAATGTTGTAATTTTTGATTTAAATAATTTATTTAAGATGTTTTCAATTATAAATAATTGAACCTATGGAAATTAAACCAGAGAAATTAAAAAAAGTGAGGAACACTAAACTAAACTTTTTTTCCATTTCTAAACCATTTATAGAAGTATTGCAAATATCAGTAAATACCTAATGTAAATACCTGACCCATGCTGTTTTAATCTGAATGTATCATTTCTGTACACTCACACACACCAATGTGCACACACACACAAACAGAGATAAGTGACCGTCCTGTGACCCAGTTTCAGTGGACATAGTCAAAACAAACAGTTGTGCTGTTGTTAGGCAGAACGCTGAGTAATGACCACACAGGATTTGTTAATCACTTGATGGGATCATGCAACCAGAGCCTGTACCTGTGGCATTATATCACCTGTAGACATACAAATAAGGTATACAGTCCAGATAAAGGGGATGGAGTCAGTGTGAGCATTAGAGACTGGCACCAGTTAGACTGATAATAAAAGGTGTAACAGTATGTCTACCCTCACTCCCCTAACACAGGCCAAATCTTTGGACACCGTGGAGTTTTTCCTGTACATTCCCATGCATGGCTCCAGTAACTATGGAAATTCTTAATTGCTTTGGTCTTTCCATGAAAATATATAAACAAACAACAATAAGTGTTATGCAACAATATATTTTTGTACAAGGTCATGTTCAGATATATTTTAATATAAGCAGATAAATAGACATATGATTTTCTGCAGTGATTTGTGCATGAGGTGTTGCACATTTCCGTGCAGATTTACAAGGTAAGAATACATTATGTGTGAATACATTAACTGTTATAAAAATGTCAGATTGTTCCAAGTCCATGTGTGTGTCTTTAACCAGAATGTATTCATCCTGAGGCTGCACACTGTGGATTGAAATGAAAGCCCAGTGCTGCCTTCTGGATCCTCTTTCAGCTCCAGCCTTGATGCTGAGGGAAGGTGCTGCATGTGTGTGTGTGTGTGTCAGTGGAGGTTGAGGGGTGCTCTGCGATGAGCTCATTGTTGTGAAAGCCAAACAACAGCCTCCCTGGGGGAAAACCTGAGAACCCGTGAGGCTCTGATCACGGAGAGTGAAAAGTGACGCTGTTTTTTCTTGTTGACATAAACAACCAATCCTGTTGGGCTTTACGCAGCTCTGCCACCAAGGCTGTGACTGGGTGAAGTGTTTCTGAGCAGAATTTACAGCCGGGTTATACACTGGGGGAATTAAATAATTCCCCCCTAAAATCTGAGGGAAATACCAGTCATCTCCTTGTGGGAATTTTACTTTGCTTTGGAGATAGTTACTAAAGAAACGGAAGTTCTATCAAAAACAGAACTTGTTCTTCTTATTCTATTATATCATATACAGGTTATTTCTCTTGTTGAGAGACTGATTTATTTACAATACAATAATCCTGGGCATTTGTATCTACGTTTGTCAAGTGGTGAGTACTGTGGTCTCACAGCAGGAGGGAGCGGCTTCTTTGTGTGGAGTTGGTGTGTACAGTGCCACAAATGTATAACTTGATTTTCTTAGTACCCTCCTAAAGTTTAATATTAGCATTGCTACAACAAGTCACTCAGTAAAATCAAAATGGAAATGGAAATTCAAATGAACTATAAATAGGCTATTTTAACCATGTGATTTAAGTCACCAAAATAGTCACATCCTGTTTGTGTGCCCTCCATGCTGCAGGACAAACAAAGTCAAGCAAGAAGAAACATCATGTGCCAGACATGCAAATTCCTCCACACAGTGTTGACCCAAACTATCATAACAGGGTTGTGGTGGACAGACTCACACGCCCTCTCTCCCACGAACCATGTCACCTCTGTCTACCTCTGTAGGGGTTTAGAGATAAGGTCATTTGAAGTGGCACTATACTTTCCATCTATTACTTCCTCTTTTTACATTTGTCTCCATAAAATTACACTACAGTGACATTGGATAATCCATAGGGCAAAGTCAGCATTTAACCGGCAATCATGGATGTTTAAAATGTTGACATCAAACTTGAACCAATTTGGTGTATCCTTTAACTCTGCTCTCAACCACCTCACAGAATCTCTATCTTCCAATCGGTAATCAGCTAACATTACATCTTCAATCTGATAAAGTGTCAGTTCTGATGTATCACTCGGGTTGATAGCTTTACCTTCACCTGTGGCCACGGACCTTCATGGTAGTTACCAAATGTTATTTCCACATCACTATGTGATACAGAGGTTTGCAATCTTCTCTTTGTCTCTGTCTTATACGGATGGAGAGAGAGAGAGAGAGAGAGAGAGAGAGAGAGAGAGCTAAAGATCAGCTGAACATTACAATAAATAAGTTACCAATGAGAGAGTGAGGAAGGAGACACTTGAATTATCTCCTGAATCTTCAGTTCTTTTATTACAATGTTGACACTCACAAAAGATCTTTGTTTTGGTTACTACAGGACAGTAATCAGCTGCACACATGTGATAGGACGGCAGCTGACCAGCTATCATGTCAATCAAACGGCATCAGTATCACAAGCGCTATAAGATTCAGACAGACAGATACAGTTGAGGGAGATAATGTTTAAGGTTGGATTCCTATATCCCTGACCTTCAACTCTGTAATTAAATTGATAGGAAAGGTACTGAAAGCAAAGGGCGGGGCGTAAAAAAAGAGGCAAAACCTTCTCATGTTATTTTAACACCACAGAGTAGCTCTGCATTCATTGTCCAACTATATCAAGCAAATTAGTCATGTGAGCGTGATATAAAGCGGAATATTCTTAACATGGCAGAACTAATTCCTCAGTTCAGTGGCATAAATATAGATGTCTACTGTTCTAAATGAATCAAGTCCACGATAAATATAGATTTTTCAATCTATATTTAAATTTTGCAAGGTCAAAGTTAATTAAATCAGACATTTTTCATTTGTTAATTTTAGCAAAAAATAGCTTGTTTTTTTGTAGTTTTTATTGCATTGTTGCATTGATAGACATAGCGAGTGATATTTTACATTTTTACACAGGGCTAATTTAGGTTGCAGAGAAGAGAGAGTGAGAGAAACAGAAAAAAAGCTGCAGCAGAAAGTGAGACACAAGGCGGCAGATCTCATTTACATGCTTATCACAACTGCACAGGTATAGATTACCTGTAAGAGAGAGAGAGAGGGAGGGAGAGGGGGTACCCGTGTGTGTGTGTGTGTGTCTGAGTGGGACAGAAACAGACAGAGAGGGACAGAGAAAGAAAGGGGGGTGGGAGAGTCAGAGAGCCCTGTACACCTTATCTGGTGGCGTCATGTCATCTCTCTATTGCATGGCTGAACTCAGGTTACAGTGTGTGCAACCCCTAACAATCACAGAGAGAGAGAGGGAGAAAGAGAGAGAGGGGGAGAGAGAGAGTGAGAGAGAGAGAGGGACAGACACAGAGAGGCTGAAAACAATATTGATGATGCAGCAGAGTGGAACCTGAACCCAGGTTAACAGGTGACTGCATACTGGCATCAGCTGTGAACTGGCACCAATAGAGGTTTGGGAGCTCTGTGTGGGTTAACCCTAGGTCAGAAAATAAAAAATAAGCTTGCTATAATTTAGATGCATATCGTCCACTCTATATCTGTCCGTCCGTCTAAAAAACTTTTTTAAAACATATTTTGTTTTTTTCCATTTACTGTGCTTGATTTGATAAAAGTAGTTTTGCTCCAAATAAAAGGAACCCTGCATGATTTATAGCCATGTCTTTGAGCAATCAGTGGGCAACTGGATTGTGGTGGTATTATACATAAAATTATAATATATATAGGGCTGGTGTCAGAGTCTATCTGGTGCTAATATCAAGAGCTCATTTGGGATTCTGTGTCTTGTCATAATCAATGTGTTCAAGCATCCAGTGAACAGAAAATAGACCATAATGATATGATTAAAAGAAAATGTTCTGTGGCTGGATCAAATCAGGTGGAATTAATGATTTGTCTGCAATACAGAGAAAATAATTTTTAATTTTCTGCTAATTATTTACATTATATGTCGTCATCTGTGGCGTCTCAGGGCTGCTTCATGCTACATTTGAGCGTGACCATATCACATGAACAGTCTGGAGCTGTGGGATGTTTTGGGAACAATTCTTGTTACTGTAACACACCTACATGTCTGAAACCATCTGATGTTACTTTATCTGCAACAAAACTAGTGAGAGGATGTTCGCCTGGGCATGTACTTCACACGAGACTAGCCTCTCCGCCCACACCCCAATCACCCACCCTACTCTTCAGCCCAAACAAGGGGGAGTATACAAATCTGCTGCAGGAGGAGAGGAGGAGGAAGAGGTGGGGGGTCTGGAAACAAGCTGCCATTTCCAGCCGATTACACAGGCTCCAACCCTGCAGCTTGACTTTGCCGCCCCTGTCTCATGCCCCACAGCAAAAGGGTGTGCTGTGGAAACAAAGACCTGAGGGTCAGGGGTCGATACAGCGAGGGTGTCTGAAGTCATTTGGAATGCTAATGCTATGCAGGGTTTCAGACCACTGGGTGTAAAAACTCAAACAATTACTCAGCTGTTGGAACATAAACTTTGCTGTAGGTTTACTTCGTGAAAAACTAGACAAATATCATCAATGTAATTGCCTTGAGCATCCTACAGCTCACGGCCTAAAGTCAGGCATTTACAAGTAAAAACAACGTACCTATTTTACTAAATGCAATGATTAAGTTGTTTGTTGTAAACAAATGTAGTATTTTAGCACCACAAACCACAAATCTGTACCCACCAAAAATCAAGCATTCAGTTTAAGGTAATCTATGTTGTGTAGTTTGTGTATTTTGTTAAAGGGCAACTAGTAAACATAAGTAGGTTCATATTGTTTTTAATTAAATATTGACCACTGTATTACAGTAACCTGAACATACTGACAACATGATCACACTAAAGTGGCTAAAAGAGAACGTTCTCTTTTTGGACTGTGTCCCTAGAGAGGCAGAAACCTCATTAAACGGTTTTTACACTTTTTCCTAATTAATAATGCAAGACAATCTGCAGGAGATCAACCACAAAACAGCAGAACATCTGAACTGCTACAGTAAAAAACATGTATTAAAATGTTATATTTGTGTTCTTAAAAACATTGCATTTAAAAAAATTGTGTAAATAAAGTATTGTATCTGACAATGAAGTCACAAAATTCCAAGTGCACTAGACACGTATGACAAATATGACAAGTACAATAATACCAACACAAAATCCAACTGAATTCTAGCTGTAGCAGCCATTTTAGCAGCTGATTTGGTAATTAACCAAGCTCCTGTTTTAGTTATCAACATTGTTGTATGACCATCCAGACAGATAAAAATACATCTAAAAAATCTAGTGAATTGAAACTCAACACCAGGACACACATGCCACTCAATCAAAATCCTTCCACACAGCTGAGAGGATGGGGAACCCCGGGTATTTTAAACCAACACTGGGTTGTTTACACCTTTGTGTAACATGAGGGTCAGTGGCATGGACGGAATCACTAACAGGTCTATTGTTTCAGTCCATTAATTATTCTTACTCTTAATGATGCAAACTAGATGAGATAAGTCTTTGCCTCCGTGACTGTGTAAAAAAGGTAAGATTTAGACCAAGAATAGACTTACAGACTTCACTGATGTTTAGAAAACAAAATTACAACTGGTGGCAGTAATTACAGACACTAATATCCTGTAGTTCTCACTCACACTTGCAAGCACTTGCAATGCTTGTGTCGTAAAGTGTGACTATATGAATGCTGACTCAATGCCTCTGCAGGCATTGTTTTAGTTCACAGCTGCTGCAGCTGTCTCTGTGTGTGTGTGTTGTTATGTGTATGTGTGTTTCTGTGTGGAACAGATTGGAAGAGAAAGAAAAACAGTTAGGGTGAAGGACAAGGTAATGGTGTGTTTGTAATCCAGTGTAAAGATGATAAGGAAATACTTTCTCTAAACAATGAAATGAGGAAATTTGAAAGATGTCGGACTGTTTGGGCTGTCAATTTATTTTTTCATATACAGGTATATGTGTGTAATATAGAAATACCTTAGACCAGTCCATTTATCATTGTGGTAGCTATAATTGCTATAAATGCAGTGTGAATGCACTTGCACTGCCTTTTCCATACAATCAGTCACTGTGATGTATTTCCTGAAGCAACCATCTTGGTGTTTTACCAGGAATGGGTTGATTTATAAGTATAATCAAACCCAGGTCCTACTGTACAGTGGGAATACTAACAATGAGCCAATATTTAACTGCATAATTATGACACACAGATGGCTTTTTATCAATCAGTACCTCGCCTATTTAAACAACTACCAGCTGTCAGGACCAAATTGTACTTAAATTAAGAAAAATGCAAAAAAAAGGGCAGTGTTTCTGCAGATAAATCACAATTTATTAGCAGAAATTACTCTCTGTACTTTCTTACTTCTTTGCTTTCTCAGGTTGAACTCCTGACTGCGTAAGAGTTCGTTTAAAAGGCATACAAGGTAAAGAAGAAGCAGGAAGATAAACAGAACGGTGGAGACAGGGAAACAGTCTTCATCCTGTTGTGGGAGCATGTCAGCACATGTCGTGTGGTGCGGTAAAGGAAGTTAAGCTATAGTCAGGCAACTGTGACATTTAGTTTTCAAAATAAAAGCTTTTAGCAGCGCAGACGACTAGGGGATGACATCACCAGCAAATAATGTTCATAACAATAAAATAGTATTTTATTGAACTGGCGTACATGAAAGTGTGCTCGGATATAATATAGGTGTAATGTAAAGTGTATTTATTATTTTACACGCTTTTAATGACGTTGGCGTTCGTGTTCTGATGTATTGTGTAATACTGTAACCGGATGTTGAATTACATTTCTGTAGCTTGAGGGACGTCAAGTAAAAACAGAGCGATCCGACGCTGACGCTGAGAACCATAACAGACAGTGTATACCGTATATCCGAGGGTGACGAATCTTCTCTGAGTGAATCTTCGCAGATTCTGATCTACGCATTTCTGTCTTCATGAGTCTGAGACTTTAATGAAAACACTTTGCTTTTCTACAATCTGGACAATCCTGAACAGTTGAAACCTGAAATGGAGTGACATCAACCCAGGATTGGACTCCTACAACATCCACACCACCTGTCCGGCTTACCCCAGTGTCCGTGGATCAGTTTATTCCATCTGATGTCAAGCCTTGACTGGTGGAATCTGACCTGCCCTCAGCATCAGCATCTGCGCGGAGCATCATCTTCGTCAAGTAGGTGGATTATTATTTTTATCCCTGACAGAGTGAAGAAAATACAGCGTCAGAATCTGACAGCTGTCAGCACTAGAACGATGAAAAGAAAATTGGCTTAAACTCAGCACTCAACACCGGTTTGAACCATTTCCTTCTCGTTGTAACCCTTCTAACAAACCTTATAATCATTTAACAAAATTATTTGGCTAAAACAACTACTTTTCAAACAACTATATATAAATAACAACAGACATTTATCAAAGACCCTGTTCTATGTTAACACTAGTCGTTAAGTTGGTGATAATTTGAAGTCCTGACAAAAAAAAATTAAATAATATAATAACAATATAATTATGGACAAAACCACGTTTTTTCCACACTGGAAGCAGACGCGGATGACCATGAAATTCGCCGTCTTCGAACCGCTAACTACATTAGCGCTAACGTTGTCTCACAAACCAACTTTCTGTCTTTTGTATTTCCATTTACTGTGAATATATTATGTATTCTCGCTGTGAAACGTATGCGTATTCGCTTTTATATGTGATTTATTTTGTCTTACCAATTTTTCAGTAACTTTTTGTTTGAAACAGGTCTACACACAGTGTTGCTATTGAAAATCTCCTTAGCTTTCAAATGTAAAGATTAAAAAACGACCGTTGATGCTTCTCCCCTTCGTGTCTCGCGTGACTCGGCGGCACGCAAGCGCATAGTCTGTGCGAATCTGCTGTTCGTTCGCGCGCGCAGATCCTCGTGCTCGTGAAGCACGGATTTGTTTACAAACACTAGTCTAGCTTTGCTTCACTACCAGACGCCGCCTATTGGTAGAAAAGCGAATATGGGTTGGTAGGTCAAAGTGAGGCTGGGGAGAAGAATTAAAATAAAATAAAAGTTATATACTGTTTTTCTACGAAAAATGCACTATAAATAAACGATTTTATGTTAAAGGTTATGTTAAAATATTATTATTTATATATTGGTATTTATATTTTTATAACCTTGTACCAAGTACCAAAAAGAATAACAGTAATACAGTGTCTCAATGACTGTGTGGGCTGTAAATGATTACCAGTTGCCTTTTACTCACACATGCACAATTTGCATGGTGCCGTGTGTGGAACCTGCAGACAGACCCATGTGTGTCTCCCTTCACTGTTCTTTACACCCACATAAGTCCCACAAAAACAGCGAGATACATGACTATTTACACTCCATGTTAATAAACAATGTAATTAGACATTTTATTTCTAAATGTATGAAACATTTTTCTTTGTGTCACTTTAAAGACCACTGATATGGCCCGTGCAGAGACCATTGAGAGTGCTGGAGAAACTGGAGGAAGTGGAGGAGGGGGCAGAGGAAATGATCCTCTTCCACATCACACGTGCCGCATGGAGGTCCGATGCCCTACCCACTCGTGGCCTGGTCTACTGACAACCAGTAGTATAGCTTCTGGTCCCAGTTCCATTCTCCCCTACAACCACAATCACCTGCATCCCTTGCAGCCTCTGCGCCTGCTTTATTCTTTCCCCCACGAACACCAGCAGCTTCCTGCACGGTCGCCGTCAACAACACCTCCGTTATCACCACTGTGCAACCAGGGTGAGCAGAGCAACAACATGGGAGGGAATTCTGGAGGCATCTCAGAAAATGAGTCAGGTAAGATTATGTACCTTAATGATAGCAAACCAAAAAGTAATGTTTATATTAAGACTGTGAACTGAACCAACCCCTGCATCTAATACTCCAGACATAAAAGAAATTCATCAAAATGTCCTCAACAATAACCAAAAATAATTTGTCTCAAGATGTATGTCAGAGCTAAATTATCTATGTGCTGATTTCTGGACCCTGCAATCTGAGTGTCAGGTGCTAGTACAACATAAACCGTTGGGATTCAACTAGAACATTGAGACCTGGACTGATATGTCATTAGCGTAGCGTTATGAACATAAAAATTCACTGCGCCTCCCTTTCGGCGTGAAGGAGTCCAGCGTGATGTGTTTACAGCCCTCACGGGGATTTCCACACATCTGACATCACTGTTGTAACTCCCATGCCTCTGTTTCAGTATGCTGTGAGGATTCTCAGACAGCGAAAGTGATCGAAAGTGAACAATGTTTGTCTGGCCAAAGTTCACATAGTGTGAAGAGGGAGAGATGATAATAATAGACTGTACTGTACTGTGTGAAGTCCAGCCCAGCTGCTGAGATGAACTTTGTCTGTTTCACCATAGTGTCTATTGTTTTATGACAAAACAAAGAATCTGAAGATGAGACTTAGAATGTGGTAGAAAGTGAGAGAAACATGAGGTGGCATTGGTTACAAGGAAAGGCAGCTTTACATTTGTTACTGAGCCACAGTTTCTGACAGATTTGTTGTAATGTAAACAGACAGGTCACTCTCCACCTGCTCCTCCTCCTGCTCCTCCTCCTCCACCCCTCCCTCAGCTGAAGCTCAGCTGACTCTCAGACATGTTCAGACTTGTCCTCTGTCATGTTGCTGCTCTGGAGAAACACTGAGCAGCATTTCTTCATGCTCTGAGCTTTCACAAAGGCAGCAGAAAACTCTGTCTTGACAAACTTTTTATTTAATTAAAAGTAACATTTAAAAAAAATCTTCAGAGAGATTTACAAATCTGTGATCCAGAATAAAATCAAGGACAGACAGCTGAGAGGACAGACCAGGAAGGGAGGTGCAGTGAAAGTGAGCAATGAAACAAAGCAGCCAGAGTTCTAACAGTGGAGAGTAAAGTGTGAGGATGAAGATGTAACAAGTACTGACTGTAGGCTTTAATGCAGATTATGATCTGGGAGGATGGGAAGCAACTCCCAGCTTTCATCGACAGGTAGGAACTGAGTCATACAGCTGCTATCATGAAGACCCTTCCAGTCATATATATGTAAATATATATATATATCAAAGTGCCAATTTAGCACAATTTATTTTTTGAATTTAATGCTTATACTCAATATTAAAAATTACAAGTGTAAGTGTAAGTGTACATTTTTAATAGATACTCAAGAGAAAATATTGGCAATATATGCTTTTCTAATAAACTGTATCATTAAACGTTCTATCATCTGTCAGCTTATTGATTGCAACATTATGATGTAAAACAGTCACTCAGATAATAATGAGTTGTTCACAGGCTTAAATTACATTTTACATGTGACTTAGTAATTTACAGACAGTTACAATGACTATATGTGTTATATTTTTCATGCATAATCTAAATGGGTGTTAATTCTATTTTGTATGGATCATCAGAAATATGATCAGATGGAAATAATATTCTAAATACAAAACACAAAAACAAAAGAGCTCATGGGTCAACTTCTCTCTCCTCCCTTTCCTGTCATTCCCTTGTGCACAGTAGATAGAAAAGCCCACAAAGTTCGAGACCATGGAGTTAGTTGTCTCACTTAGACCCCACTTGGAAATCAGCCTGTCTGATTTGTTGGAAAGGCCTCCACCTCATTGTCACCCCACTTCTCTCCCCTCTTATTACTACTCTTTTACACCTGTCTATCATCCTTGACCCCGCCTCATTTCACCCAGTCCACCCAATCCCAGTGTATCTTCTGTTGTCTTGACCAATCACACCCAGAAGTCAGCAGGAGCGCTATCTTTGAGTTACCCCGGCAACAAGCCAGGGCCTCTCTCTCTCTCTCTGTCTCTCTCTCCCTCTGTCTCTCTCTCTGTCTCTCTTAAAAAACGCATTTTAGTGGATGAGTTTTTATCCTGTTCTTTCACTGTGAGACTTATTGACAGTAAGATTATATAAATATGAATATCAGTCCATCCTATCCTTCAGGCACAGAGAAAATAACGGATGATTTGCATGATGATTTTGTCCCATTTACATAAAAGAGCACATTTATAACATTCACTTTAAATAAACACTGTTATTTTATTACATTTTATTTTATTTAAAAGTTACGTTTAAAAAAATGCCAATAAAAAACCCATACCTTAGGTTTAGTATGAATTTGAGATATTTTTGTTTATCTAATAAAAAGTGCTGAAAATAACCATAACCATTGGTAATTAATACCAATTTAGCAAGAAGTCAAATGAAAAAATGAAATATCTTTTTTCTTCAATTAAAAGGGAATTATTTTATATGAATTAAATGCAAAGTTGTAATGACATTTAGATAGGTCTCATTTGTCACAGTTAAATGTTAGACTTTTAAGTTCAGTGCAAAAAAACAACCGTCATCAGATCAGTGTCTTTATCTGTGTTTATTTATGCCGATCCCAATGGCAACCATGAAAAATATACATAGAAAACGTAAACAAAACTATAACTGACTTTGTTGAATAAATTAAATGAAGTAAATCATATTTACTTTATGTTTTAATTAAACAGCCGGTGGCTTCAAACTCCTTGTTTATGAAAATCATTTGGAAACTTGGAAACGTTTCCTTGTGTTTTTTCTCTTTGTTCTGAGTTTTACCTTAATTCACCTCTTAAGCTACTTAACAAACATTGATGTATCAAAATGACAGCTGTGTCCTCACAGTCAGAACGTTCGGAAGAACAAATGAAAAATTAATTTTTATTTTTGCTGCAGACGTTGACGTAGAGGAACATCAGGAGATCTCCAGTCAGCGGGAGCCTCTGCCTGACCTGCTGCCACAAAATGAGCGTGTGTCCCGGGGTTCCCCCCCAGACAGAGCTCCCAGGAATCAGGTAGCTCAGGACCTGGAGGTCAGGAGAGTGGCCAGACAGCTGAGGGTCATCGGAGATCAATTCAACGCCACAGTTTTACGCAGACAGGTGAGGAGCCTGCTTGTGCCGTTTATGGATGATCAGTTATTCGCTCAGCAAAACTAATAACTAACCAAACTGGAGAGACTTGACAGTAGTCAACGTTATTGGGTTTTGGTGCTGAAATTTCAAGGTAATAGAATAATATGCTATTTTTTTTAACAAAATTTTGAGGTGTAGCCGTCATTTGCAGTGATGCAGCCCTTTGTCTGTATTTTTGATCTGACGTTGCTTTTGCAAGTGAAATTGGAAGTTTTCTGTTGGAAATGTTTACCATAATAGACCTGGTGGGTCGCAGGTCAAAACCTCTTAAAAGAGGAGAGAGGAGTAGCAGGCGTTAGAGTGAGGCATTTAAAGTCATTAAAAATTGTGGCAAACCTTTTTTAGTATTTAAGGTGAGAATCTAGAGTGGAGGATTTAACACTTAAAATAAACACTAACTGTGTCTGCTCTACATGCTCTACTTTATCTGTGATCACAACAAAATCACATGGATGGCCATGTGACACACACACACACACACACACACAGATACTGACATACACTCTATCTTATCTGACCGTAGTGTTCTTGCATGAAGTACATGAGATAAATGCAAATATATTTGTATGTGTGTGTGTGTGTGTGTGTGTGTGTGTAGCTCCATGTTCTATAGCGTGAAACTGTGACATTGGTTTCCCATTCCTTTCTTTCGTCTTTCTTAGTCTCATTCTTTTTCCCTGCCTTTTTAAAATTATTTCCATGAAATGATCTGAAACAGTCCGCAGAGTTCTTCCTTACTCTGTACTAACAGAATATTTGTGTGTGTTTTTATTGTCCTTTGCCCTCATTTATCTCTTTTACAATGTGCGTTACAGTCAACCCCTGCCTCCCTCCACATTTAGAGAGAATTATTGACATTTACATTTTACTTACAGCTATGGTCTGTCTCTTTACTATCAACTCTCTCTTCTCCAGCTCATGTTAGAGATGGGCAACACACACACATTGTATATACACTCACACACACACACACATCAGACTGCCCCTTCTCTCCTTTCCCTCTTTCCCCCATCATCCTTCTTTATGCACATAAACAAAGATGACGTCACCTACTCTAAGCTTCTACTCTCCCTTTCCCTGTCTCTCTCTGTCTCTCTCTCTCTCTCTGTCTCTCTCTCTCTCTCTCTGTCTTGCTCTCACACACGCACGCACACTTACAGTCACACACAAACAGAATTGTAACAGGTTTTCTTGTGTTGCTGCTCACTCTCCCTGCTGAGTGTGTGTGTGTTACTCTCATCGTGCTTATGACAAAGAATTTGGCAAAATTGTACACACTTTTCTGAACAAATGTTGAACAAAGAGCTAAGAACTAAGGTTAAAATGGAGGGAGAGAAGTAGAAAATGAGAGGGCTGATGGGAACTGAACATAAGGGAAGGTCGGTTAACCACAAAGAGGTGAGGTTCAGGCCTTCCAGAGTGGTGTCCCACAGACACACACACGTTAAAGACACCTCTGCATAAACAAACAATCCTCAGTATCCCTGCCTGAGACTGGGAAGCCGTTGTCTCTCATTTAGTTAAACATAGGTCAGGTTAAGATAATCAGAAACACTGTTGACTTTACAGACCTACAACATCTACATGATCAGAAACACTGTTGAGTGACTTTACAGACCTACAACATCTACATCTTCATGAATATCCAGCAGAGCAGAGTTTGACAGTATCCATCAGTTTATCTTTCCAAATTAGCTCTTCTAACTTCTTGACATCAGCCTGAAATGCATTTATGAATTCAGTACCACTGCTGTCCAGTAGGTGTTGGCTCTAATAAATTCTACACTTTTACATGAGTGTCAACGTTGGGTCCTCATCCCACCAGCTTACGATACAAAAAATCTACCACAAGTAGATTGACTTGACCAGACCTTCACAGTGACAGCCATTCAAACTTGTGAAAACTGCTTTAAAAGAAAGCTTTTCTAACATGATTTCATTTCCTTTCTTGCAGCATCCAGCTCCGTTCTGGCAGGACCTCAGAGATGCCTGCAGAGGTGTCATCAACTTCATCACCCAGACTCTTAGCACTCTATACAGGATGACATAAGGTAGCCATGTCACCTGCCTTGGTTATGGAGGCTTGTCTCTGTTCAGGACTTGGCAACTGCCCACCGTCTGTGGCTCATAAAGAGGAAACCACAGCTGGTCGCTGCCCTGTCGTGGCCTCAAGTCTGGATGAATCCTCTGGCAGAGGCATCACTTCAACCTGTGAGCTGAAATGGGTGTAACCTGTCTGTCTGAATGACTGTCTGTCAGTCTGCTGGTACAGACTGCAGCTGATGGACCTGTGACAGACTCTTTTCTACCTGTACATTTTGTAAAATCAATTTGCATCAACTGTCCTGTCTCGTCTTCATCTCGGGGGTGGGTGTGTTATGTAGCACCAGTGTGTGTGTGTGTGTGTGTGTGTGTGTATGAATGAGGAAATGTGTGTAGGTACTGTAAGTGAACGCAGCAAATCTGAGCTAGGATGGGAACCACTGGAAAACATGTTGAATTTGTACTTGATCTTCCTTCTCTCCCGTTTCCTCTGATACTGTAGCTGTGGTGTGTACCTTTAATTTCAACCTAAACTCTGTCTTACAATTGAAACCTTACTGAGTCAAAAACAGATTTTAAGGAGCTATAGAATGACTGTTGGAGAATGACTTATCTGTTGGTTAAATATGCCACCGTTGTGGACGATGGACGACGAACACAGAGATACTTCAGTGTTGTCCATCATCAAATCACTGCTTCTAATGATCTGTTGTTAATATTTGGGTAGACCTGTGTTAGGATTCACCCGGGGAGTTCATCTGCTCTGTGAAACACCACAAACAGTTAGTGTGGTTTTTCAGTTAGTCATTAGTTTTCAATAGTTCCAGATGGAGCCTGCAGCAGCAGAAACAAAGTCTTATATGTTTGTTTGTTCATAAAGACTGAACACGACATGAGCAATGAAAACAAAAAAAAAAACTAAAACTAAAAGTCACACACTGCAGCTTTAACGTCTTCCCTACGACTTTGTCACGTTCCGCCAGTCGACATTTCAGCTTCCAGATTATCTTCTGCCGTAAATCATCACAGATTTGATTTGATCTTTATCCTACAGCATGTATCTAAACTGCTGTTGTAACTTTATTTATTTTTTATTTCCGCCCTCTTTTTCATATAAGCTGTGAAACTGGAATCTGATGTCAAATTGCAGGGAAAACTGGAGGGTTGTTACACTGAAGAGCTGAGCTTCACACACAGCTTCGTTTCATTGTAACACAATATTGTGCCTTTTGGCTCAGCACTCAGTTGAGGCCTAATCTCTACCATCAGGACAATCATACACACACACACACCTACAGTATATTCATACACACACACACACGTGGACACACGTGGTTTTCACTCATCTGTGTTGACAGTGTTCGGAGTTCTATCTTGATTAATGTAAATATCTTTTTCAGATAAAATGTTAAAAATCTTTGGTGATGAACTTTTAAAAAGTACATATCTAAGGCAGAGTTCACTGAGGAGAGTCTTTATTGTTGGATGGCAGTTGGCGATCCTATAGAAAGTCTAATTTAAATCCAGTGGATTTGAAACGGTATTGCAGGAGTAAAGAAAATATGATTCGGAATTTTTTGATGGATGAAAAGTATTTGATGTCGACTATACAATGAGCCGGGGTGTATGTTTGTTTTTTTTTTTTAGTGTGGGACAAATGCTAATTGCTTGTATTAAGAACATAATTTATTTCAGATTGTAGCCTATCTGTAGCCATTGTTTTATTGCTATGTTTGTTTTTCATTTTTTTTACATAATGCGTTATTTATTTTTTCTTACATTCCTGATTTGAAAACTATGAATTAAGCTGGACTTTGGTTGGAACTAACAAAAACAGTGTTGGGAGCTGAAGCTAAATTTTGTACTCACTGAATGATATCCAGCACCACATTCATTTCAAAGATTTTCTGTTGTGTTTTTGATAACAAAGAATAAAAACAAAAGTTGATCGTAATGGTACTATCAGCTCAACAAAGTGACTTAAATTCGAAAGTGAAACATTGGCTTTAACAGTGTATAAGGTGAAATGGAAGTCTCTACATTTGCTCTCATAAGCACACTCAAAACAGGGCTCAAAGACTGGTTTCTTTTTTTTAGCATCCCAAAGGGACTGATTTGAAACTTGAAAAAGTTTTGATGGCATAGAAATTAAAATCCACTTCTTTAAATGCCTCATAAACACAGGGAACAAAGCGATTGAGAGCTTTGACAATGTTTGTTCAGGTCTTGTTATTGTCATTGAACTGCCCTGCCTTAGCCACTATGCTTTCTTTGGCTTTTTTTTTTTTAAATACACGTGTTAAGGCCTTGTTGTACAAAGTTATGATGACAAAAGTTGGGGCATTGCTGTCACAATAGTCTGGTTTCATTATTGTGTATTCACATTCTCTCAGTTTGATGGCTGTGTTTCTGAGCACCATTTGCAGCTGTCATGCTGTACCTCAGACACGTTTGAATTTCTTTTGAGTCGTCGTTTACTCTGCCTGTAAGAAGTGAACACATGCAGCTGACCTCCTCTGACTGTGAGCACTTCAACGCTGACCTTCAAGAGTGCACTTCTTAGTTTGCCGTGCACTTCTTATGTTCTCACAGGCCTCAGTGTCAGTCATGTTTGCTCAGTTTTCAACCTTTTTGCTATAGTAAGGTTTCTGCATGTTTTTTGTACTATTTTGTTTCCTTTTTATACAATAAAAATAAGGATAATTTATAGTTGTCTCGTGTTTTATGTCATTTTTTAAAAATTCAGACAGGAGCTGTGTGAACGAATAATTGTCCAACTGTCTTCTTTCTTTAAAAAGGGGATTAAATAAGTTAAATAAATACTTGAAGACGTCTTTTCACACTATACAAAGTCAGAACAGTGTAGACTACCATTAGAGAAGGTAGGGAAATTCTGCAGGGGCCAAAGTATCGGGTGGTTTTGAAACCCTTCACAGATATTTTAACGTTAATCTTTTCTTTTTCCAACCACAAACAAAACTTCGACCACTTACTCAGCCACGCCTGGCTACAGCAGAGAACATGAAGTACGGAGGCTATTAAAGGAAGCAAGTTGAGCAACAAATATACAGACAGAAGACAGTGACACAGATATTAACCATTTACCTTAAAGGTCATCTTTAATTTATGGTAAATTCTGATTCATCATTCAGTCGAATGATGATTTAAAAGTTAGGTTGGTGAATTGCTGTAACTGCCACATCAAAGTGCAAAAAAATAAAAATAAAAATATTTAATTAAAATAAGACTAAGTACAAACTGTTTAAAATTCTTCAAATGAAAATCAGTTATGCAAAAATAACACAATGATATTATTATTATTATTAATAATAAGAAGAAAGGAAAGGATGAGGTCATAATGAACTGTTAACTCTTTTTTTAAACTGTTTTGTTTAAACTGACTAATCTCTTATTTGTTTAGTACTTTTCCTCATCATAAAGGACCTTGATAACATTCCAACACTCCTGTTTGCCACAACGTGCTAGGACATGGATAATAGGTATCACACTATTTTTAAGGTTATGGCTCTGAATTAATTACAATCCAATAATGGGAGGATTAATTAGTGTTGAAAAATGTCTTGTAGAGGCTCAGTCGGTGTAATCTCTACATGATAAACAGACTAACAAATCCACTCTTCGGTGGGGGAGGTGAAAGACCTCCTGCTGAGCAAACACACACACACTAGTCCAGACAAACAGTGAAGACAGCACTGGGACTAGTTATCCTCATATAAACTCTTCTGCAGTGTGAACCAATCAGGAATCACTGAGACCAAAGCCTGGAATATGATTGGCTGCAACAACAGACACTTGGTGTTTGCTGCTTAGTGGAGGTCAAAACAGCGAGTGGCCGCACTGGACTGGGATTTAAATGACTGTGTGTGTGTTTGAATATGAAAAAAAGGAGAGAAGTGGAAGAAGGATCAGTCACAAAAACACAGTCTCGTGGTGTCAGTGTGTAGCTTGGAGTGTGAATGAGGAGTGTGATGTGTGTGTGGGTGTGTGTGTGTATTAGCAGATAAAAGTTAAGGCTAATTAAAGGGGCAGAATGAGCTTAAAGGAACATTCCATAATTAATCTCCTGTCCTCTGGTTTCACTAAGAGCTTGACACAACGCTTCACATTTACATGCTTTACTTCTGAGGGATTATGAATTTCATTTCCCGGCCAGACTGGCTCTCCACCGCCCTCTCACTCCTTCTGCCTGAACTGATCTTGAACCATTAGAGTAAACACGCCAAGCCCATACACATCTTTTTTGGTGGTAATCATCACAAGCTTATAATTGGTAAACACATATATAACCAAATATTGCCCAATATAAGGCAAAGGCTGACAGCAGATAACTTGGACAAAAGCAAAGTTTCTCCAATGGTGTGTATCGTCACATCAGTGGGATGCAAGGACAAACCTGGTGGTTCATGGGGATCAGTAAAAAATGGTCAGCTGAGAGTAACCATTATTTCCAAGGTTAAAATATAAAAATCTCTTTATGGGTGGAATCTTCTTGGTTTACCTTAATTCTTAATGACATACAGATGACGTCAACATTCTGCACAGGTTTTTGGTCCATATGGACAATAAAGCATCACACTGTTGCTGCACCACCGTGCTGCGACTGTTGGACTGCCATCTGTTGACTGAAGAGGGCATTTAAGTACAATTGGATAATTGTCATGCTCAAGAAACCACTTCAACATAATTTGAGCATTTTGATATCGCCTGTTCTTCAGCTGAAAGCTGCCGTGACATGAACACTGCACCATAGTTATAGAGGGATGGCAGCGGTCAGTAACAATGGAGAGCTGTGACAGTCAGGCTACACTCCGTGGTCGTGATAAGACACAAAGTTTACCAAGAATAGTTCCCCTAAAAAGTGATACCTGACTTAAATTATTTTCTGAAAACACATTTTTTAAATTACAGGGCACTATAACTTGCTGTACAATTCTTATCATTTGCTGCCGATATAATTTTCTCACTTTTAGAGGTTAAAGGATCACAAAAACACGCTACTATCTGCTGCCGTTTCTCGTTAGATCCACAACACTGTGGAACAACTGTGATTTTCTGCCGACAAATCTGTCTGAAATACTGCTGTTGGTAGAATTTTCTGGCTGCAGGCTTTTCTCTCAGACAGATTATTTCCTTTAATCTTCTGCTCAAAGCGTGCAAAGATACAGTATGTCTATCGAATTTCAAAAACTGTGAACGCTACAAGAATATTACTTGAACTTTTGTGGAATAAAGTTTCTACACTCAAAAAGGCAAATTAATTGCTTGTTATCATTGCTAGACTAAAAGTTTTTATTATATTCTTCAACCCAATAAAATAGTATGTATGTATTTTTACAAACAATGTTGGATTTTAAACTTTTTTTGTCAACACCATGTTTGGGTAAATTGAGAAATAGATTCTTATATAGGAACATTGTCGTTGCTAGGCAAAGTTCACGATTGAATGGTTGTTAATATAGTTTAATTATTTGACTATTTGAGTTTGCAATTTTGTGAATAACTGTATATAACTTAATTAAATATAATTACTGATTATTAAATTACACAGCAGCGTTGAATTCTTTAAAAGCCAACCGCCCGAACAGGGACTTGAACCCTGGACCCTCAGATTAAAAGTCTGATGCTCTACCGACTGAGCTATCCGGGCTCTTCTAAGAAACGCGAATGTCCATCAAAAGTACGTTGACGCAACACTGTGACAGCAGTTATCTTTAACTAGCATACTGTCAGTTTTTGTTAGATTTCAAGTCAACAAACCATTTTATTAACAAACGTTTTATTTGGACATTTGTAAAAAACAAAGAAACAAACAAAGAAACTCCAGTATGCTTATAACAATGTGTAATTATGTGGGGAAAATGACAAATGAGAACATGTACTTATAGTACTAGTTGATACGAAGTTAGTTGATACTAGTATCAACTAGTACTTATAGTACTAGTTGATACGAAGTACAGACATAAATAAAATGTAGGAATAAAACCGGGAACATCGGTGTTCAACTGTCCCGAGATTTAGCTGGCGTTTAGTTTGGTCCAAAGTAGTCGACGATTCCATTGCCTTTACGAGCATCGAAGAAGAAGAAGTTACGATGAGGAGCATCTCTTTGGGAGAGAGCCTGAGACAAAAGCACACAACAAGAGATAGAAAAACATAAAGACACTGTAAAGAAAATGTAGGCGACTTCACCAGCGTGTATGTCTGGTCGGAAGGTTTAAGCTGGCCCTCATCATTAGTCAAAAAAATACAGTAATAAGGAGTGTAAGAGACGTCGAAGAGTCAATGCTGTTCCTCGCTTTGGCCATATAAAGGGTACATTGTAAGCTTTAGCGACACCTTCTGGTAAAGATTTTCATAGTAGTTCGACATTATATTTAACTTTAAGTGGTGTCCTCTGAAAAGAAATGTAATAAAACCAAATTACTTTGTGATAAACTCACGTGCATAGACTTGTATTTACTCACACTGCTTAGGGATCGATAAAGAGGATGGAAGGGTCAAAATAAGTTTTATATAGATTATAATTTAAAAAAAAAGTAAATAAGTGTTGAAGACATCCATGGAAAAATAAGAGAAACTTCACAATCATTAATTATTATTATTAAATAATTCAAGAGTTTTATCTTTATTGGATTCTGGAAATCAAGTAATTTTCTTATCAATTTTGAAACCTTTGGGTCAAAATAACTGAAATTCAAGGAGTGAGGTAATATGAAACCAGTCATTTTACTGGCACGGTACAAACAACGAGAAAAAAAAAAACTGAATATGTGTTTTTAAACTGCACATTACCGTTACTGCATGTATTTTACAAAAAATATGTTGTGTCATCACTTTGCAGTTGTAAACAATGTGCAGCACAAGTCAGTGTTTTCACTTCAGTTACTCTTACGAAGAAACTTTGCTGACCCGGCCTGAGGATGATGTTTCATTTTAAGATTAAAAAGCCCAGTAAAGTAAACAGACGGTAAACAGAATTTAGATTAGACGCGTAAAAAATGATTTGACCTGAAGTTATCATTTGGCCAGTTGCAGTTGGTGTCATCAAGGTACAAAGAGCAGAGGTTGGTCTTCTGCCAGTACATCACAGTCTGACTGCGCTGTCGGTCTCCACCCACCCACATACACACACACACTCACACCATCCCTGACCTGAACTACTCTGTTCACCTCAGTCTGAGGACACCAAGCACCGCGCTCAGGGAAAAAAAATAATTTCTAATCCTCTCATCATTGTGCTGAGATCTTATTCAGGTCACGCAGAGAGAAAACGACCCATTTTCTCTGCAGCTGTATCTTCAAATGTCTGCATTAAATAATGATGATGTTTTCATCTGTGAGATGAATCCTGATGGGTCTAAAAAAAGATGCACTGTACTTACCGTACTCTTTGTGGTAAAAATTATCCTACAAAATAAAACACTATTACACAAAAATAATTAAATATCATCATATTAACTACTGCAAAGAATTAACATTAGTTCAATTTTAAGACATTTACGTGTGTTTGTATGGTTTAAACAGATAAATGACTATAGGAACGGTGTTGAACAGAACTAAATAAACAGGAAGACTTGTGAAACTTCTTTGAGAAACCAAGTCCGGGTGCTTACATCTAACGAAAAGGGCCGACAACCTTCGCAATCAGGAGTTACATGAACATGTTTTCCATTTCATTCAGCTCTGCAGTCTCTCACACACCTCCCTGTCACACTTCATTTCCTGATGTGTTGGTGTTTGTACATGTCTTCATTAGGCTTAGATCGAGCAGATCCTTATAAACTATAAGAATTTTAAAAACTGAATGCTCCTATTCTCGACAAGAAATGTTGAACCTTTTTTTAAAGTTTGGGGGAAACAAAGGAAAAGTTAATTGAATTACAGATTAATGAAATGGTTAGTTTTAGACAAAACTTTAAACTTTAGTTCCAGATTAATTAGCTATAATGTCGAGAACATGAGAAAGCATGTCAGACCATGGTTTGCTGTATGTGGCCACAGGGGAGATTACGTTTTCAGAGTCCCTGCTGAAGACTGGATCTGAACCAGAACCTGCAGAGTCACAGGCTGTCAGCTCACTGGTTTGGCTCTTTAGTAACTCACTGCTAAATGGAAATTGTGGCTTTTGTTTTTTGGTATTATGGGGGAAAAAAAAACAACCTCATGTTGAGAACCTTACCTTAACAACCTCTTGCCCCAGTACTCCACCCATGACGGCACAGACAGGTGACATCTCAGAGAAGCAGTAACTGGACACAAATACATGGACATTTTCAGTGTTATGACTTTGTATGCTGTATTGTCACCTATTTATAAAATAGTATAAGTACAATATACATAATTGATTTTTCAGGAGTTGTTCTTGTTTTCTCTTAGGTTACAAAGCTGATTTTGATCAACATTTGCTCAAACAATTATTTGGAGTCCAGTTCTCGCACAAAACACTTCCTTTTATCCAAAGATTTTCTTTTCAATTTCCTCAAATGCTGTTCCCTCACTCATGAGTTTATACATTTGGTAGACCATTTGGGAATAATAATAAATATGTGTATCAGATATACATGTTATTTTTTTAATTATGCAGAAGAGCAAAAAGATGATATACTGAAGGTATACTGTTTCAGACTAGGATTACAAATTTCTGTTTTTACACAGAACCAAGGGATTATTAAATTCTCAAACTTTACTTGGCAGGAAACAAAAAGGTTGCAATTTTTCAGGTCAGACACTTGGATTAAACTGCTAAGTGACATATAGAAAAGTGCAATAGGGACGAAAGAGTTTCATTTATTATTTTCAAAATGGCCTCTATCACAGTGTACATATGTACAGCCAACACTAATGAATAATGTCCAACACCTCAATCGGTTGAAAGTCGGAGAGTGTATTAATACAGGTATTTATTGGCAAAATATCACACTTTTGAAGATGGGGTCTGTTAAGAGTAAAAAAAAGATTTGTCATAAAAAATAAAGTATGAACGATGGTTGAGGTCCATTAGGTGTCCTCAGTTTCACGGTGCTCGCTGATGCATAGCCACACTGACCTTACTTACAGGTACTGAACAGAAGCACCATTACAGTGATGTATAACATCTATGGCTGTGTCTAAATGGACAGTGTGCAAACGGTCCATTATCCCTATAAAGGAAGATTAAAGTGCTTTGTACCTGATGAAGTCATCATTCAGGAGGTCACCGCTGACAGACAAGGCCTCCAGGACATCATCACGGATCTGTCTCAGGAGCTGACTGTCTTCTGCAAAGGACTGAGGGTCTGGATCTCGACCTTTGTCTGTGCGGAACTTCAGCATGACTGTGTTCAAGACAAAAAAAAAATATTGTTATAGTTCAGATATAGCTAAGAAAGAAAATCAAGAAATTAATTTAAAAATATGTATAAAGATAATGCTCAGCATTTATTTTGGCTGCAGCGAGACGTGTTTATCTCCCTGTACTTTCCATCACCTGACCCTTTTGGAGGGGGTGAGGGGTGGGGGAGTGAATGGAACCAGTCGATGGCTTAACAGCATAGGCTTTAAGGTGGTATTGAACCTAAAGATGGAAAAGTAGGAGTGTGGCAAGGCTCGCTGGTAATATTGGCTTAGCTAGAGACTGGGTTCATAGGCTGGATGGAAAAAGCTAAAGATTTTTCAAATCTTTAACTGAAGGCAACAGTCAGTTGATGGACTAGGACATTAAAACACATTCACAGAGTCCCCTGCAGGGGATGGATAGTTGAGCTGGAGGGTTTGAAAACACCTTCAGCAGATTTTACCTTAAAACAGTACCATCTACAGAATCATTATATTGTCCATTAAATATTTGGCTCTGTATGATATTAATTTCATCACACTTTGTGAAATTACTTCCGGAAAGACCTTTCATGATGTCAAAATGGATAAAGTCAGTGTGTGGTTACATCATCTCCAACCACTATATCTGATTAAACCCACATTTACCCACATCAAGTAAAGAGTGTGTGCACACACACAAAGACGGGTGTATGTTAATTTTAGGAACAACGAATGAACTGATGGAGGAATTAAAAAAAAAAAATCAAATTTTGCACTTCTTGTTGTCATGTGTTATAACTTTCAAATTGCACCTGATTTGTCTGTCTGCACCAAACAGGCAAAGACATTAACACTTCGCCCCCATGTTTCCTGCCCGTCCATTAACTTTAACCGCATGAGGAAGTTCAGTCCTCCCACTGCTATTTCCACCACCGTGTCGTGGCAATGAATCATTGTGGCACCTCAGCTCTGCCCTTTATCAGAGAAACTTTGCTCGTAAAAAAAGAGAAAAAGTTAATGGCACAAATGACATCACTCAGGCAGAAAAATCAAACAGAATTTCATCAGACTATAATCACGCTTGCGGACGAAGCAGCAACACTTTCTCCGCACCGTGTGGGAAAACAATCAGGTTAGCACTTTGCGATCAAAAACAACCAAACCTTATTTATGTTCCGTGTTTCGAAATAACATCTGGACA